TTAAGAAATTCAATGAGAAAATTTTTTCCTTTTCGGCATCATCTGTTGAATCATCACTCAAATAGGTGTGAAAATCCCCATCGAGTATATCAAAAATTTCTTCATTTATTTATGAATGTGCTCATTTTTAGGACAAAGAACCTCACAATTAGGTATATTTTTAATATTATTTATAGATACACTATTTCCAAAGGTAGATTCAATAATAGATCCATTACAAATCATTCCATGGGGATTTCAATAACATCCATTCTCCAAGTTTTACTAACCATCTGCTATAAGTGGAATACTCAGATATCATATTAGTTTTCAGAGACAACTGTCTGAAACATCCCCAAACACCACAGTACTTTAAACTCATTTGTACTATGGCCAATCGCATAGCATGCGGCGCAACACTGAGACATTGTTGAAAATCCCCTCCGAGGAAGAAAACTTTCTCACCAAATGTCACATTCAAATTCATAATTTCTCTTAATCATCTATCTATGGCGTTTATAGCATGACTGGATACCATAGTGCATTCATCAATAATGAGAAGTTGGGAATATGTATCGCGCATGCATGAGTCAATGTTTATTTTTAAATTGCCAGTGTGCGTCATATGTACTGTACGGTAGGATGGTTGGACAGACATATGATCAGTCACTTAGCCTTTTATATAGATAGTCTGTCAACTCTCTCTACAATGTAACATCCTTTGTTTCCAGTGAATACTGTACTTGAACACTCTGTAGAAATTTAAGAAACATTTGTTTACTACTGACAGTTTGACTTCCAAGCCTCACTGTGATAGTTATGGGAAGTAATCCATCTATGGCCTTTTCTGTTTATTAGAAAACAACTGAAGATAGAAATATGAAGAATAAACAGTCAGCAAATAATAGAGCATCCAGTGCCTCCGGCAGGTAATCAAATTCTCATCATCTCTGATTTATGGGTTTACATTACACAAAGCTAGTTTTAATTGAACTTCTATAAATTGCATTTGTTGTTACTTGATTTTCTCTTAATTCCCCTCTCCTGAGTG